CAGACAGACCTGCCTAGGCTGCACAGCTGCTAATTGTTCTGCCTCCCTCACTGATGAGTAGACAGCCAGCTTCTTTCTATCCGGGGACAGAAGTTCCAAGGCCTGCATCTTCCAAGACAGCCTCCTAGGAGAAGTTTATTCACACACAAGCAGCTTCAGCAAATTTCCACTCATAGACAAGGGTTTGGGCACCCCAGGGTGGGGTGCAGTGTGTGTGTGTGTGTGTGTGTGTGTATGTGTGAATAATATCAGTTGTTTTTCTTTTAAAATTTTTTTATCTATTTTATATTATTTAAGGATCCCACCCACCATCCCTCATACCCTGTGAACCCTCTTAACCTCAAACACCTGTCTCTATTAGTGTCCACTCATTTTTATAAGTAATTTGCTTTGTTGAATCATTTGTTGTGGTTTGTAAATGTCCACTCTTTGTCATTCTGACTTGCTGCGTGTCATTCCTTTGAGCTCCATCTCGCTTTAAGTGGGAGCATTTCATCTGTCCTCACGATTCAGTAGGCACCCATAGTGTGCACAGACGCCCCTTCTGGATCCAGTTCTCTGTGGGAGGGGAGGGCCAGCTGCTCTTCTCGACCTCTGACTCGGGACTCCAGAGTTCTGGGCTCTTTACAGACATGGCCTGTGCAGAATTCACACAATGTCCTAAGAAGAGGACATATTCTCCCCATTTCACAAGTGAGAAAACTAAGACACAGGAAGGCAGTGGGAAGGGCCTCAGGGAACACCCCCCCCCCCACAGCTATTTGGAAATCGAAAGCCAGATGTAGAGTGTGGCAGAGCGAGTGACCCATCAGTGTGGAGTGTCCAGAATGCGCCAATCTGGAGTCAGATTGGTGAGAGGTTCCAGAGGCCCGGGGAGGGGAGTGATTTCTGGACACGGCGTGTCCTTTGGGTGATAAATGTTCTGGATCTAGAGGAGGTGGTTGCCCAGGAGTAGACTGGAGACCACCTGAAAGGGTGAACATGACATTATGTGAATTTTACCTGCATTTTTCAAAAAAGCCAATTGGAAAAGGGTCTTGAACTGAATTCCTTGATGAGTCGATGCTAAGCTAGTGCTGGGGTGGACCTCAGGGAAGAGAGTGCTGCCCCCTCTCTGAGGTTACTGCCCTGGGCGGTAATCCAGGAGCTGGGCATGAGTGTAGCCAGTCCTTTCCCCGGATCCTGGGCCCTTCTCCCCCTCACAGACCCAACACACAGACTGGCTGGAAGAAGTCCCTTCCACCTCAGGCACCAGCCATCCTAATGGGCCTCGTTTAACAGGAAGCATCTGAAAGCTACTTCACAAGCACACTTCGGTTGAATAATCTTTCTGGGAGGTGGGGTCCAGGCAGGAGATGAGTGGAGTGTCCGCTCCTAATGTTGCAGAGTCAGTAGGGATGCGGTGGGTGGGGCACGGTCTGGGTGGGTGCTGAGAACGGCTCCTGAATGGAAGGCCCTGCCCCTGGGGCTCACTTGGGCAGTGGCTCCCACACCTGCAAGGCATCCGATGTTCCAGAACTAATTTCCTTGGGGAAACTGAGGCTCAGGGGGACAGCCCATAGCTGAGGTTTCCTTGCTTGCCCCATCCCACCCTGCTCTTTGCTCTAGGACCAGGGCTGAGGTTCCTGGAGAGGTGCTGGTGTGGGGGGCAGAGTAAGTGAAGTTATCAGCTTTTTCCCACCTTCCCCTAGCTAGCCTCTACAGCTGCCATCTGCGGCCTGTGCCAAAAGTGCTCGGGAGCATGAGCACGGGGCACACGTACCTGTAACTCGGGACATCTGGCCCCTGAGAGCACAACTATGAGGCTATAAGACCAAGAGACTGAGAAGGCCAGAGAGAGGCCAGAGAAAAAGCATAAAGATTCAGGCTGTGTGGCCTGTGCCTGCCTCCCTGCCTGGAAGGCTTGGGTACCTGGTTCCTGGGTTCAACATTAAAGGGCAATAAAAATCCACTGAGGACTCCAGGACTCTCCTTTCCGTCTCTCCGAGTCTACAGTGAACCAGCCCACCTGACATGCTGGCACAGCAGGGGGTTTGCATTGCTCTGAAGCTGAATCCCACAGAATACTCCACGCCCGTGGTCTCCAGGCTTCTCCGGGTGACAGCTGCCTGTAGGCCTGTAGCAGCAGGAAGGCACAGAGCAGGTTTTCTATGATCCAGGCAGACGGGTGAAGGAGAGTCCTGGAGCCCCGGTGGCTGTTTAGGCTTTTGTTGAGCTTTTACCAGGGACACGGCAGGCGGAGGCGAGTCTTCATTCTTTCTAGGTTCTCAGCGCTCTCTCGTGGTGTCCCTGCTATCCCTGCCTCTCTGCTGCTTCCACCACTGCGCCTTCTCCTGGTTCCATTCCCCTCTCTCATTCTCTCTGCTCTCTGCTGGCGTCCCCATAATGCCACCCTTATAAGCCCAGTCTCAGCCCAGGTGCGCCCACCTATGCATGCCCACACCCACTCCAGGTGCCCGCCATCAGGCATGCGCAGAGGACCACAGGGATCCATCGTCAATGCCAATGACGGGAGGACGGAAAAGCCTGACACTTTTTCACTTACCCTACAAGGCCCAGGAGGAAACTGGGTAAGGCAGGATGCTCAGGCCGGGTAAGACTGCACAGAACCCCAAGATCCCAGGGGCCCCAGGGCCATGCATCTGAACCACCCGGGGCTGTCAGATGCTCCCTGGGTCCCACTGATTATCTCAAAGTTCCTGGATGTGTTCTTCCCCACGGGGTCCTGGTGATACAGATGTGGGAGCTACTTGTGAGCTTCGGCTGAGCACCCCCAAATTAGGTCCTCATGATGCATTCTTAGGGGTGGCTGGAAGGCCCGCTCTCAGAAGACTCAGGGAAAGGGTGTAAATGAAGCCGTGGCTTTTTCTGCCCAAAGTCGACCCCAAAGAGGCTGCAGCTGGGCTGGATGGAAAGACAACCCCGGGGCGAGGGCAGCGCACCTTCCTGTAGCCAGCTGCCCCCAGCCTGGCTTCTCCACGGGGACAGGCCCTCTGGCCGTGGAGATGACTAGGTTAACAGCAGCAGTAGTGGTGGCAGCTGTTCCATGGCCCAGGGAGAAGGTTCCAGAAGAGTGGGAACTTTCTCTTTTCTTTAAAGGAAAAAAAAAAAGGAAAAAGAAATAGGAAGGGCCCCCAGGAGGCCACAGAGGTCCGCAGCCAGGACACAATTTTGCAAGGACACCAGGAGCCGGGGGGGTCTCCGGCCAGCAGCTGAGCCCCAAGAAGCCCTGGGGGAGCCCGAGCCGCTTCCTCCAGGCTTGCTGGCCAGGACGTCATTTGTTGGTTCTCAAGCCCAATCCTAGCTCGTGATTTCCTCCCCGGTTGCCATGGCCCCGGACAGAAAACACAGCAAACTGCTGGCCCCGGCAGCTCATTTATTTCAAATATTCCTTGCAGCTGGGCCCCAAACATGTTTGGGTGTCTGGACCGGAGCATGAACTAATTGCTCTGTCTTCGGCCCCCTCCCCAGCTCCCCCGGCATACTTTATGGTTCAGTAAAGTCCACATTCCTCATCTCACCGCCGCGGAGTGGGAGGAAGGGCAGGAGGGGGCTGCGCGCAGGCGATGGCCACGGAGGGCGCCCCGTCAGCGGCCAAGCCCGCGCCCTGCTACCTGCTCCAGGCGGGGTATTAATTACAACCACATGGGCAGCCTGCAGGACGGGCTGGCTCTTCCCTTCGGCTCCCCGAGAAGTCTCCCGGTAGCACAAAGGCTCTTATTTTCCTTGCACTACCCCCTGACCCCACACCCCTCCCACCCCCTTCAAAGGAAGCTGGAGTTCCAGCCCAGCCCAGACGTGAACTCCGACCTAAAAATAATCTCAGACCACCCCTTTCCTCCAGCCGTGTCTGGGGAAGGCATCTGGGCGCCCTTTCTCCAATATCCACCTGGATCTTTGGGGATGTCCCGGGAAGGAAGGACAGTCGCCAGGAAGCGGCTTTAAGCAATGCTCACCCATGTCCAAGGCCAGCGGCAGGACGGAAGAGCAAGGGCTTTGGGAGCATTGGCCTGCACGCTGGCTGCTGGGCCGGGCCCGCTGCTGCCGCTCCCCGCACTGGCCTCCGTGGGCGCTCGGGGGGCTCGGTCCTAGGAGGGTCACTCTCGACCACAGCGCGTGAGGGTGGGCCAGGCTGCCGGGCCAACTCCATCCCCGGGACCGACCCCGGCCCGCCCCGCCGGCTCACGGGACCTGGTTCCCCTGGCCCAGCAGCTTCCCGGGGAAGGAGCTGACTGTCGCTGGGTCACTTCGGGAACATGGCACATTCCTGGGCCTGGCCCCAGAAATGCTGATTTGCCCATCTCAGGCGGGGCCCCGAAGCACGCCCCAAGCCAGCACCTCCTGGTGATGCTCACGGGCAAAGCAAGCTGGCCCGGCGGTCCAGAGAGGGACGGGGGGCTTTGGGCGTCCCTGGCCTCAGCCCAGGGCACTTTCCCAGCCCACCAGATCCTGACTTGCCCCGACAGGGAAAAACGCCCGGGGAGCACCGCCGCTAATTCTTGGGGAACTAGTCATGACATGTGATCCTATCTAGCAAATTTCTTGGCTACTCACTTTATCACTCACCAATCCTCTAAATAAGCTAGAATTTCCTGTCTTCTTGGCTGGGAGCTGGGGTGGGGGCACCCTCCCCACAGCGGCTGCAGGCGGGTTCCCCGGGGCCAAGGGTCACTGCACTAGGCCCCGGGGGCACAAAGGTGAGCCCCTAGGACGCCCCATCCTAAAAACCCACGTGAACCAAAGACGCGCCCCCCTGGGCCCGGGCGTCAGGGCTGCAGGCGCCTGGTCTTCTGGAAGGGGGTGGGATGTGCTCGGGGCCTTCTCAGTGCTGTCCTCCTGCAGGGGCCCCACCGGCACCCCACCCGCTGCCACGGGTCACGGGGCGCAGGATGTACCTCCTCCATGGTGTGGGCGGCCGCTGGCCGGACCCAGCAGAGGTCACCCCCGCCCCTTTCCCTTCCCCCAAGGCACAAAGAGGGATTCAAAAGTGGGTCTGTATTTTAATAAACTTTCCTTTATTAGGTTACTGACTATTATTCAACCATCATAAAATAGAACGGGGGTTTCAAAACTGTACAGGCCACACGGCGCTGGGCTGGGAGGGAAGAAGGGCAGGGTGGAGGGCCGGGGCGGGTGGGGGCGGCCGAGGGACGACAAAGAGCCCGGTGAGGCATCGGCCTCTGCAGGGACGCCGGGTCGGGCCGCACGGAGGGGTCTGTGTGAGTGAAACTCTTGTGTGCAACATTCATGGGAGCAGGACCCGCCCCAGCAGGGTTCGGGGCGTCTCCAGAGTCTAGCAGGTGAGGTTTCCCCCAACAAAAACCTCAAAATAGTAAGGGGCTAATTTACATTCCTCACCCCGTCTTGGCACCAGTTTTGTGCTTTAAAAAATATACTCCACTGGAAGACTTTTTTTTAAAGGTACCCTACAGCAGCTGTTTAAAACATCATTCTTATGGACAAATATATATGTATATATATTAAACATTTTAAACAAATAAAGTCATCTATTGTACCTGTACAGAAACGAATTGAAGTCAGCCAACTTCAAGATGAAAGAAATGGCTTCGGCAGGCGGGGCGCTGGGGTCTGCTACGTGGGGCTCAGAGGGAGGGAGCGCCCCTCTCCCTCAGTCACCCCGCCCTGCCCCGCCCGGCGCTTCTGTGGCTGTGGGGGGTCGTGAAGAGGAGGCCTGGCTCCCCAGGCTGACCTCGGCTCTGCCCCTCTTCCCAGCGTCCTGCCCCTGACTTCTCCGAGGATGGAGCCACTTGCATCCCCGCACCCCAGCCCAGGGGTCTCGGGAAGACAGAGCACATGGAAATCCCAGCTCTGCCAGGAAAGTAAAAGCGAAAGCGAAAGCAAGCCCACAGCAGAAACTTCGCGGACGGGACGAGAGAAATAAGGCCACACGCCCCAGACCGAGTGGTAAGTGGCCACCCTGGGGCCGTGGGCTCTGCCTGGCAGGCAGGCGGCCCGACACCTGTATTGCACGTGAGGCTGGCGCTCCCCGAGGGGCCCGCCTGGAAACATGGTGCAGGGTCCAGGGCCCAGACAAAGACACCCTTGTGCCCCGTGTGGAAACAGCACAGGCCCTGCCCGGCGAGGCCAGGTGAGGCACACCTCCCGGGAGGGGCGGGTGGAAAGAGCAACAGAACACTCGGAAGCAGCTGAGCGACACAGGGTTCCTTTCTAAATGGAATAAATAAATGGCTTTTGTTATTGTTAAAAGAATAAATACAGGGGCAGGGGCACCGCAGCGGGCTGACGCCGGGGGCGCATGTGCCTGCAGAAGGTCCAGTTCTGGTCTCTGCCTCGATGTCCACGAGTCCCTGGCGTCCTGAGCTTCATCTGCGGCACGGCCCACGGGCCTGAGCACCTGCCCTCCGATAAGCACCTCTTAGCACCCCGGAATCTGCTCTCGGCGCCCAGGTCCCTCTGCCCTGGGGCCCAGCAGTGGGGGGTGTCCCACGCCGCCCCGAGAGCAGATGGGCGCTCAGCGTTCTCGAGGAGGGGCTCTGATGGGGCACGTCGGGAGCCTGTGTCCAGAGCTGTCCGTGGCCGGCAGGAGCAGCAGGAGGTGGCGAGGACGAGCTGCCCTGGTCCAAGGCGCAGGCGTGGCGGCGCGGGCGGTTCGGTGAGTTGGCACGGGTGGCGTCGTGCAGGCGGCCCGGGTCACTGGTACAGGAGGTAGGCCTTGAGGGCAGCGGGCAGGGGCAGCGCGTGGATCTCGCCCAGACGCTCCTTCCCCAGGGCCAGGCGCACGGAGCGGCGGCACAGGTCCATCAGGGGCAGGGGCTCGGCTGGGGGGCAGACACAGCACAGGGGTCAGCGCGGCTCGGAAAGTTCCAGCACCACCAGCGGGAATATCACCGCTGGTGTTAGTTTCAATATACAGACAATTAACAATTAAGTGCTTTGCAATGGGGCTTAATCGGCAACTCTGCAAGCCTCTGCAAAGGGAACCCGCTCAGTCCTCACAGTGAATGAGTCAACAGGCACCGGGAGATCCCATCCTCACAGCCATTTTACAGAACAGGAAACTGAGGCACAGAGAACCTAAATGTCCCGCCCAGGGCCCCTGGTGGTGGGAGACAGGCAAGGACTGAAACCCAGGTGTTTCCTGATCCTGGGCAAGCCTCACGGCGTGTTGCTGGGGTTCAGGGGCCCACCCACTCCCAGCACCAGACTCTCTGAGGAAGGGAGTCACTTAACCCAATGGCTTGGGGGCTGCGGGCACTGAGGTGCTGAGGGCCAAGCAGACCCCAGTTACAGGCTGGGGGTCCAGGCTCAGGTCACAGCTGAGCTACCTCACACGCCGGACCCCCGAGGGCTTCTAATGCAGCTCATGAAGGCCGCTCCGTCCCCAGGGGCCGCAGCCCTGATTCCTGCAAGGGGGGTTCTCAGGGGTCTCGGATAAACTCTCAGCTCCAGGAGGAGGCGTCTGAAAGTCCTTCCCTCCAGGGGACACTGCTCGCCCTGCCTCCCCCAACCAGATCCAGGTGAGCACACCTGGGCTGTGGGGATACAACTGAAAATATGAACGACACTTTCCACGGCAAACCACATGGCGTGCGAATTACAGATCGCAACGAAACTGCTATTTTTTTAAAAAGAATAAATCTGCGGTTGGATGATGCATGTGCCCAATACCAGGCTTTAAAGGAAGCTCAACAAGTGCTCTGTGTCTCCCGGGGAGAGCCGCAGCCCGGCCAGACGGAGGGCTGCAAAGGGAAATGCTCTCCATGGAAAGCTTTGAAGTAGGGCCTTTCCCAGACAGGGCAGGAAGGTGGAGGAGCCCGCCCGGATGCTGGAGATGAACTAAGTGACCTCCTGTCCTTTAGGGTCAAGGGCGCCCCAATGCAGGAGGGCCAGTGCCCCCTGCCTGCTTGCAGGGCCCCGGTCTCTCTCTCTGGACAGTCAGACGCTGCGTTCCCAGGTCTAGGCCTCACTTTCGCCCCGCAGGGCAGCCTGACCTCCGGGGTCACATCCCCTGCCCCGCCTCAGTGTCTCCATCTGTGAGATCAGGACCAGATCAGAGGCAGCAGAGTCCCATTTGGCTGAGACCCTAAAGGCCAGAGACACGTCTCCACAGCACTTGGCCAGGCGTGGTGATTGGGGGCGGCCTCTGCAGGGTCAAGGGGAGAGCTGGGTTGACTTTCTGCCCCTCCACCCTGGGGCTCCCCGCATCTGCTCCTCATAGGACTAGTCCCCCCCCACTCAGGACTCAGCTCAGCCCCCACTGAGGGGCAGGGGGCCTGGAAGACTATGAGAAGCCTCGAGAGGCACCAGGTGGGGCCTGGCCCTGCAGGCGGTGGGGTGAGAGTTGAAAAGGGGTTCCCGCCTGGTCTCCCCCACTGCACCTGCTCGGCCGTGGGGCTTCAGGCCCATCTGAGAAATGTCTCCGAGCTGCACAGGCCTGCATGGGCACCTGCTCCCCATTGCCAGTGGCTGCCTTCCAGCGCCCAGACAGCTGTGGCTGACACGTGCCTACGGGGTCTGGGCCCCCAAGATCCAGGGGTGCAATGGGCTTCGGGGTCACTTGAGGGCCCAAGGTCTGAGAGCCAAGGGTTGGAATGTGGAAATAAACCCAAGTCCCTCAGATTCTGCGGTCTGGGTCCTTCCACGCCCACATGTAGAGGACACCCCAATAGCCTTTGAGATTTACCCAAAGGGGCATGACCTCTGGCTCCCTCCTCTGCGCCCTGCTGGAGGCGGTGGTGTGATGCAGGGGGCGCTTCCTTTGCCTGAGCATCTTTGGGCCACACTGAATAACCTGGTGCATGTGGGGGAGGCTTTCACAGACCCCAAGGGGTGCTGGCTCCGCCAACACGGGCCACAGAAATGGCAGCTAATAGGTCATAAGCCAAAAATGAGATTAGTCACCCAGGCCTCCCACGCTGGGGGGATTGTCGGGGGCCTCAAACAGGCCAGTGGGTCATGCCCCACCTTCCTCACCCCTGCCAGCTGTGTAGGGCACAAAACCCTATGATTTGGTCCCTTCTCGAAAGCGGGCTGGCCTGGAAACAGGCATGGGCACGGTGCCATGGGGGACGTTTGTCCCCAGACTTTGTTGGACCCAAGAAGGTCTCCCCTACCTGTATATTTTTGACTAGAGACAGCTGGCTCTGTCTCCAGCCCCAGCACAGAGTTGGACACCTGTGAGACACTCCCCCACCGAGGAGGCAGAGTCCACCCCAGGGCCCGGGCCACGCCCACCTCCAGGGGGCAGGCGCACATCTGTGGGGTCTGCATGAGCGACGGGTGCTAAGAGCAGCTCTGGAATCAGGGGCCACAGGTGGAGGGACTGGAAGGTCCCAGGCATCTGCTCCCCCATTTCTAGGACAGACACCGACCTGGGGGCCTATTTGAACACACAGGCCCAGCGCCCCAGTTAAAGTTCCAGTACTCGGAGGGCCCAGCTCAAACCTCCCAAGACTGGGCCGAGGCTATTTCCGGGCTAAAGGAATGAACTGCGGGCTCAGGGATGTGGGTCTAGGGTCCAGAAATGCCCCAGAGGCAGTGATGTCCCCCGTCACCATCACGGCTCCTGAGCTGGCCCCAGGCTTCCTCCTGAAAGCAGCTGGCAGTGAAAATGCCCCCCAATGGATAGTAGGGAGTGGTGGTGGGGCGGGGCTGGGAGGTGGGCGCCTTCCCCCTTTACATGAGGGGGTTCTTGCAAAAAAGAAGCAAAACAAAGCACCACCCCTGTTCATGCCACCCGGAAAGGACACCCGGCCCCAGCTGGGCAACATGGGCACCCGCCATGCACGAGCTCCACGCGTCGCTGCCTCATCCCCCGCCGGGAGCTGCATGGGGAGGGAAGGCCTTGCAGGAGGTCTATACCCACTGTCTCCACCTCTGTATACAGTGGGTGGGACACTCCCCAAATTCAAGACCACCTGGAACCCCAGACTGTGCCCTCCTGGAAAGAGGTTCTTTGCAAATAGAAGCAGCTCAGATGAGGTCAGATTGGAGGAGGCGGGCGCTGGAGCCCAGGGCTGGTGTTCTTTATGAGGAGAGAGGACACGGGGGGGGGGGGGGGGGGGGGCACTTGACAGTGGAGGCAGCAATGGACGCGCCGAAAAGTTAAGGAAGGTTGGGCACTGCCAGCAGCGGTGCGTGCCCGGAGAGGCAGGCAAAGCCTCTCCACTGCGATTCCCGACATCTGACCTCCTGAACCACCAGGGGATACATTCTGTCCTTTTAAGCTGCCCAGATCATGGTCTGTCCTGTTCAGGCTGCCTCAGGAGACAATCCCCGCCCCCTTCACGCTTCTCTGCACAGCCACTCCCTCTGGCTTGGGCTCCACCCGGCCCAGGTGACTCTGGACAAGGTCACAGAAGCTGATGGACACACTTGACCTGGCTCTGACTCAGCCATCACTGTACTTGAGCTGGCGTCACTGTCCTTCTTAGAGTCCTTTCTTGGCCTGGGGTCCAGGACACCACTCTCCTCGCTCCAGCCCCTCGGCCTGTCTCCCCGGCCTGTCCACCCGGCCTCTAAACGTCAACCTCAGCCCTGCCCCTCCCTTTCTCAAGGGGATGCCCCACTGACCGTGACCCAGGCCCTGGCTCCAGATGTCAGAGTCACTTAGGGGTGTGAGTGAGCATCTCCAGGGTCACGTCCCCACCTGGCCCAGGTGCCATGGCCTCTCCCAGCACAGTTGTTACAGCTCCTCCCGGGCCTTGTCGGCCACCCGCCCCCAAGCGCCTGCACCACCCAGCAGCCAGAGCATGTGGCCATGCTAGGACACGAGGCGCTCTCAGCACAGGAGCCGAGTGAGGGTGGCAGGCGGCCCGCAGGCCCCGTGCACACTCGCCTGCTCCCCACCGCCAGGCCGAGGCCGCAACTCCCCCACCGGGTTTTCTTACAGACCTCAAAGCCAGCTGGCTGAGCAGCATCTACAGGGATGGGAGGTCAGAGGCCAAGCGTCCTGTTATGATGATTCTGCTGGTGGGTGGGGGTGCATCATTAACCAAGTCCCCCAAGTTCCAGCTCACAGACGCTGTTACTGACAACTCAGTCCCACGCTCATACCCTCTCCCTGCCCTGCTAAGAGTCCCGAACAAGAGGAGTCACGAAAGAGTCCAGCCTCCCACCCACGCGGAGCCCAGCAGGACACCCACCTATTTACAGGACGGGGCGCCTGTCTGGGCCTCCTGGACCCTTCGGCAGGCCAGGCAGTGCGCCCCGACTCGCCAGGCTGAACAGGGGTGAGTGTTCTGGACTGGAGGCCTTGTTAACTCCCAGCCGACAGCCTCTTCTGAGGGGCCAGGCTGGGCCATGCTGCTTGTGGACAGTTTTTGTGGCCCGATAGCAACACAACAAACCTAGATATTCACTCATCCATCTGCACAGAAGGAAAGTTAAGCTCCTGGGGGCCGGGATCGCCCTGGCAGGAGGCGACAGGGCTGTGGCTACCTCCTGAGCTCCCAGGTCGTCAGAGGATGTGGCCAGAGCTGCGTCTGTGCAGGGCAGAGCCACTGTGGGCTGGCTTTCCACCACTGTCACCTGGGGAGCCGGACTCACAGAACTCGCTCTGCTGGTTCCCTGGACCGGGTCTGAGGATACTTCCTCAGGGAGGTTACCTGCTGCAGTCACACCTGGCTGCCCTGCCAGGAGTCCCATGACCCAGGGGTGCTGGACAAGTGAGGCACCCAACTGTCATTTTGCAGGCAGAGCCAGAGCAGGAGAACACAGAGAGGGGGTGGCGGGGTCCAGAGAGAAACCTTTAAGGACTTGCTCATGCCACACGCCCTGGGTATTTTCTCTGATGTCCCCCAAAACGGGAAGGGGTAGGAAGAACCTGAAGGTTGGAGACTGAAGTGCAGGAATAAGCATCTGTGCTCCCCGAAGGGCCCCGCCCATCCGTGTCTGGCCTCAGGGTGGGTTAGGTCTCCTGGCTCCAGGCCAAACCTACCCTTTAAAGATGGTCAGCACCTGCAGGTGAATGAAGCTCCTTGGCTCTGCCCCCTTCCAAGTTGGATTTGCAGGTGGTAGAAGATACCCGTGAAGGGTCAAACAATTCAAGACCCTTGGGCCACCAGGGACTCCCAGCCAGGCAGTCACAGAGTTTCCCGCCTCCCAAACCAGTTCATTGGTACCACGTGTGGCTATTTCCACCCCCTTCCCAAAGAGACGAGGGGCAGTTACCGATGATTCAACCTGTTTCTAACCTGCATACTCTTCTCTGAAGGTCTCCTGGCCCCAGGACTGAACAAGCCCCTCTGGGGACTATGTCCCAAAGCAATGGACTCAAAGCCCCCCCCCCCAGCCACAGGAGAGACAGCCCCTACACCTGTTTAATGAGTGAGCAAAGCCACTAGCTTCATGAGAGGCCTTTTTTGTGAGAGGCCCTAGTACCCCCAAGGTGCACCCAAACCCCAGCTCACTACCTGGCTACTCTGCTAGAATTTGGTGATTTCAGATTAAACTTATAGACAGGTCAGCCAGAAGCAAACCACGCCTGTCAAAGACAATCCATCTATTCATTTATCCAGCCAGCCAGCCAGCAACCTATCGTCCATCTGTCTGTCCATCCATCCACTCTGCCATTCATCCACCCACCCACCACCCATTCTTCCACCCATCCACATACCCACCCACCCATAAAGCCAACAATCTGTCCATCCACCCACCCATCCAGCTCCCTACCTATACATCCCTGAGGTGCTGCAGGCAACCTGGCACACTCTAGCTAGAATTGTTCCTATAACCAGAGGGCGGCAAGAGCAGCCTCTGACTATCTGAATTCGCTGTGATGTACTCAAAGGCACTTTAATTCTGACCATGCCAGGTTCTTCCCAAGCCTGGCCAGGCCTGCAGATGCAGGGAACCGGGCAGCACCCACTCAGACCCCAGAGGACACTTACGGTCAAGTCCGTTCAAGTAGCGCATGCGGATCTCACAGTGGCCCCAGACGGCGCTCACGACAGGATACAGTTTTTTGCCCTTGAGCCCCCGAAAAGCCACTCCCATGTACTGTCCGTCCACAATGAAGCTCAGGGTCCCATCGTCCATGTCCAGGGCCACGAGGAAGGAGTCGGGCACGATGAACGTCTCGTCAGGCTCCAGGAAGGCGGGGTAGGTTTTGCTGGGCTGGTTTTTGCCATCGTGGTAGAGCCGGTTACGGCCCAAGTCCCAGCCCCAGGACTCGTGGTTATTCCCCACGAGGGTTGTGTACCCCACTGAGTGCAGGGGGGCATCCGCCGTGGCCACCCCCACCACAGCATGCGTCCCCCGCTGCCTCATGGCCCACGTGATCTGCCACACGTGTAGCCCACGCGTGTACCCGACTTTGCCCCTGATGGCGTCCGTGCTCTGGGCCACCGGATGCCGGTGGAAGATGAGCTTGTCGTCCTCCTTGACGAAGACATTGAGCGAGCGGTCGCTGTTGTTCCAGGAGTGGCGCAGCTGGACGTCGTAGGGCACGGGGGGCATGTCCAGCAGCAGGTCCAGGCGCGTGGGCTTGCAGTAGTCCAGGCCCTGCAGCTCCTGCTTCAAGGGCCGGTACGTGGGGTCCCTCATGTCCACGGTCTTGATGCCGCCGGTGACCTTCTGACCCATGTCGCCTTCCTCTCACCGCTCCCCAGGCTCCCCAGGCAAACTCATTAATGGCGAGGCCTCCTCTCCAGCTCTCCCGCCAGGCCCGGGCGGCGCTCCCGGCAGGCTGCTAGGCGACCGTGCAGGTTGTGGAGTGTTTAGGGTTGCCTAACGGGTGGAAAGAACAGGGGGAGGCTGTGAGTAGAGGAGCGGGAGGAGGGGACACCCTAACCAGGGTCAGCTCCATCCGCCCAGCGTGTGCATGGAGATGTGGGCTCGGGGCCCCCACGTTACGAATATAGGGGGTTCATGGGCCGAGACACACAGCTGATGCTCGCCAAATACCGAATCACAGGGCCTCAGGTTGGCACAGATCCTGAAATAGCCCTGGCGCACCGGGCATCTTCCCTGGTCAGATGAGGGAAGCTGGCCTCACTGGCCTGCTCTTCAGAGGGCAGGTGGGGCTCGAAAAGCAGCAGCTGCTGCTTGAGATGCCGACTCCCAGCTCCCCTTTCTTCCCCAGCACAGGTCCTCCCAGTGTCGGCACAGGCCAGGCCCCAGACAGCGCAACCTTCCCGGGAGGTACCACCTCCCGCCTGGACGGGGGCCACCGGTGACGCTCTTCCCAGACCCCGGCCAGCCTCAGGCCACCCCCAGCCCCTGGTAGCGCTGCATTAAACTTCGAGGACCACCGCCCCAGCTGCACCCTCAACTGGCAGCCAGTGCTTGGTTCCTCAAGTCCCTTCTGGGGAGGTGGGGCTCTGAGACACCCAGTCCTGCCTTAGGGTCCCCATCCCTGGCTTCTTCGAGGGAGATCAGGCATGTATGTCAGAGGAGGGACCTCACTGATCATCGCCTTCTGTCTGTGACAGCACTGGGGGGCGGGGTTACATCCAAGGAGGAGGAGGTTGAGGGCCCGAGAGCCCCCCACTGCTATTCCTGACCTGAGTGTCCATCCTGGATGAAGGAAATAATGTCCTATTGGTTTTCTGAGCCTCGCACAAAAGCAACAGTTTCTTTCCGCCCCCACAAGTCTCCTTGGCCTGCAGGAGAGACTCTTGGGTGCCAGGCTTCGGGCACTGACCCGGGACGGAGCAGACCGGGTGAGGGCAGCTCCTGGCTAAGGGGATGTTGCTGAACGGGTGGGCGGCGCCTGGGCCAGAGCTCTCGGCACCTGGATGTCAGGAAAGTGCAAAGTGGGGCCTGTTCCACTGCAGTCCTGCCCTGGGAATCTGGATGAATGGCACACAGTGTTGGGGAGAAGCAGCAGTGCCCCCAGATGTGCTGACACCACATAAATTGTAACCAGACGCTGTTACATTTTCAAAAGCAAGAGGGGACACAGCCTGGCCCGCAGAAACGGAACTTAAAGCTCTACCTGTGCGTGGGTTTACCTGTCCGCAGGCCCAGAGAGAGGTCTGGGAGAATAAACACCAAACCTCTCACGACAGTTAACCCTGGGGGCTGGCGCGGGAAGACATGTTCATTTGCAGGACTTTCTGAACTGAAATACGGAAAGGCGCGCGTGTTACTTTTGTAATGAAACCTATGTCAAGAGCACACACAGCACTCGGGGCTGCAGAGGCCTGGAGAGCGCCCCCGCGCGCAGCACACATGTCTGCAGGGCGATGACTAGTGGCCTCCCGAGGAGTCACATCTTCGGGATGTTTCCTTCAGCCACAAAGCTCCGGGCCACCCGCAGAGGGACAGCATTTCTGCAATGACCGTCCCACGCTTCCGCGTACAGTTTCTCAATCACAACTTTCAACTTGCCCAGTAAAAACGGAGCGACTATTTGGCCAGTTCAAAACAAGAAGAAAACAACGGTTCCAGCCCCACGCCCGAAACGCAGCCACCGCAGCCGCTGCCCGGAGGGCCAGGGGTCCAGCCACGGCCGGGCCAGGCGAGCAGGCGGGAGGGTGGCCCCGGCTGGCAAGGGCGGAGGGCAGGCGTGTCAGCGCGGGGCAGGGACCCACAGCGGGCATCAGTGAAAGCCGTGACTCCGCAGCCCCTTCCCCAAACGGCATTTTGCTGGCCCAGGCAACTGACCCTGGCGTCTCCCCGCTACTCAAAATTACCCTTTTGTTTGGTTGTTGAAGACAACGTTTGTTGAAGGAGCTGTGCCCTCTCTGCAGGAGACACGTCCAGGTGACCAGTGGCAAAGGGATGGGGCGGAGGGGGTGCCAGGGACACACAGCGGAGGCCACTCACCTCCTCTGGGCTCGGCTCCCCTCAGTGTGTCCCTCTGTCCGTCCGACTGACCCCAGAACAGTAAAACCATTGTCTGGACCCAAGACGGGGAAAGAATGAAATTCAGGATGTGGAACCAGGTGACCTAATTATAAAGCCTCCTTTCACCTGAAGATCAAATACGCTCCCTCCCTCCGCCTCCCCGCCTCACACATCAGCGGTTGCGGCCCAGGATTTTGCAAGAGAAGCATGCCCCGAGCGATCTGTTATTATATCAGCAGGCAGCCTCTGTGCCCCGGCCGGTGCTGCCCGGCTCTGCCTGCTAATTAGGGGTTTGTGCTCCTGGGAGCCAGGGCTTGGAAACACGCTTTGGGGGTGGGAGTGCCCGGAGCGTGCCCCCTGCAAGCCTGGCCACGGCGGCCCTGGCACAGGTGCTGCCAGCAGCAAGACTACCGCGTGTGGTTACCACCTCCACCCTCCCCACCTGCCACTGGAGGGGAGATGCCGGGAGAACGCAGGGGAGCTGTGTTCTTGCTCAAGTGGGGAGATAAAAGGTCTCTGACCCCAGAATCAACAAAAAGCATCGGACCCTTCTGGAAAGTTTTGCCGAGTGATGTTGGAAAGAAAATCCCACACGGTCCAGAGCTCGAGCCTCTGACCTCAAAAGACCAGAAGTGCACCTGCTGGTGACACCTACGGAAGGACCCAGATTACTCACGGCGCTTTCAGAAAGGGCTCAGATGGGGCGAGCCTCGCCCCTGGGAAACCAGCATCACACTCATACAGAGACTAAAAATTTAAATAAAAAGTCATGGCTATAGCCCAGCCGAGGTTGTACAGGCAGCGGCGTGAGCGCCGTTCAGACAAGAAGCCCTATGCTTGCAGGGACCTCTGCGACCCACAAGGATGACATCCCCCCGCTGGGCGTTTTCGAGGGCACAGCAGACGTGCCTTGGAGGGGCAGTGCGAGAAGTCTGGACCGGGGGCCCCTGACATTGCCCAGCCTGGAAGTGGGCGTCCATCCAGCTGGGCCTGCCTGGTCCATGCAGGACTGGGGCACTCCTGGAAAAGGGCAGGGAGGCAGGGCTACAGGGAGCGCCCCGAGGCATCCAAGGGGAAAGGCTCAGACACACCCGTCCCTCCTCGCCCCTGCCTGGCTGGGGCAGCAGCCTGGCCCCCCAGGTGGTGCAGAGAACTCGCTCCGACCCTGAGTAAAGTGAGGTTAGGCTCACCTTCCCTGAGGCGGGAGGGTCCGTGCAAACAGGGTCTTCCCAGACACCAAGAAGCAACCTGCCCAAGCAGCTCGCCTGCTGTGGCTGCGCAAGGGCGGCGGCCGAGTGAGAGCAGAGCCCGCGAGAAAGGTCACCTCCGGGCGCCGAGCCATGGGTCAGCCCCCCGCCCCAGGGAGAACGAGCAGGACGGAGGCGGGACGAGACCTCGAAGGCCGCGTGCAGGAGAGCCCCTCGCCCTGGCAAGCCCAGGCAGGCAGGAGGCAGCTCCTCGAGGGGCAGGGCGCGGGTGGGAGACTTGCACACACCCCTCCTTGTGGCTGTGGGAGCAAAGTGGGGAGGCGGGAAGGTCCTGCAGGAGGCCATGGCTCCAGCAAAACTGTGGGTTCACAACCACAAGCCCCCCAGCCTACCTCCTGTAAATCTCTTAGGTACAGAGCAGGTGCAGCAGACCCGTAATAATGGGGGGAAGAGGATATAGGGCTGTTTTTCTGGAGTTAGGGTCACAGGAGCGGTTCTCAAAGTGGGGTCCCTGGCTCGATGGCCTTGACACCACATGGGAACCTGTTAGAGATGCCAGTGCGTGGACCCCGCTCCAACCTCCTGAATCAGAAACTCTGGGTACGTAATTGGTGTTCTAAGGGGCCCTCTGGGGATTAGGGAGCTGCTGGTTTAAAGGATTATTGCTCAGGCTTGGATTTAAAATCACAATTAAAAAAAACTTGTTCTATCTTGATTTGGAATATTTCAAAGGTTTCGCCTGTCCATGTGGAATGTCAATGCAGACATGTAGAAAGTATAAGCAAAAGTGTTCCCTCCCCACACCATGCACGTGCACGGGGACGACACAGGGACAGTCCACTTGGGGCAAAGGCCCCCCCCCTCAGCTACTGTGTCAGCGTGTTCTGTGCCACCTGTGCCACCTTCCCTCGTGGGTGGGCACCTCCTGTGGGCTAGGGAGGTCATGTTCAGGGACTTAGGAATTTCTCCAGGCCTTGGAGCAGTTCCTGGTCACTCAGCTCAGGCCACCTCCCCTGTCATCCCCCTCTGCGCCCCCACCCACACTCATGGGCCACCAGGCTGACACCTGAGCGTCCACCTGACAGGGGCAAATGGAGGCGCTCGGCAGTTCTGCTCAGCTGGACTGAAGGTTTGCCAACTGCAGCCCATGAACTTGGGGAGGACTCTGAAGGAAATCACCCAGTGCCTCTCCAGCGCGGCCTCGCCACCATTCCCTGTGTGGGATTTCACCGAACTCAACAGGATGCCAAGGGAGAGGAGCGCCCTGGGCCTCACAGGCCAGTCGGTGCCAAGAAGACTTAAACACACTCTTAAAGGGCCCGCCTCCAGGAGTCTCTGTGCCACTGGCTTCCCCTCCAGTCCCTACCACGTGGATGGTTCTGACCACCCAAACTTGCAACTGGACAAGGGTTGGCCTGGGCCAGTGTGAAGGTGGTGAATAAAGGAGTCCTGAACTTCCAAGCAAGTGCAAAGGTCCAGAGTCCCACGGTGCCAGCTGGACACATGGGGGGGTAAGGGAAGGAGGCGGGAAGCGGCCCCCCAGCTGGCTCATCCATGGGGCACTGCATGGCCATCCGTGAGGAAGGACCACAGCACCAGAGGCAAGGCCAGAGTTTGCTATGCTGAGTATCTGCCCTGAGTAAAATCTAGAAAATTATGCAGGCATATGCGGGAAAACAGATGAAAAGGAAGCCAGGAAAATGAAAACGTCTCTGTGTCTTCAGTGATGAAGCTGAGTTTCCCCTTCTCTTAAATTTCTTTACTGCTGTTTTACCTGTTGCAAAACCATAAATGATGAACCCAGATGTCCATCAATGCAATAAATGGATAAACTGTGGACTACATCTCTAAGGGAATATTGCACAGCCATGAAAAGGAATAAAGTACTGACATACTACGATGCGATGCGGATGTACCTTAAAAACTTCATGCCAGGTGAAAGAAGCCACATAGAAAGGTCACCTGTTTTATGATCCCACTTGTATGAAAATAGTTGGAATAGGTTGATCCACTGAGACAGAAGGCAGATGGGTTATTTCCAGGATGGGGAATGAATGGCTCGGGGTCTCTTTGGGGTGGGGGATGAAAATACTCTGGAACTACATAGAGGTGGTGGTTGTACCCCACTGACAATGCACTAAAAAAAATAACATTATATGAATTTCACCTCAAAAAATAACAATTTATAAATGGATTAAAAATTGCTGACCCCTCCAGAACCCACAGGAGGGAGGGTGCAGAGCAGAGAAAGGCACAGCCTGCGAGGTCTGGTGGCCAGACGCAGGCCGTGAGCCAGGCCCACGCGCAGGCTAGTGGCACCCCCGTGTGCAAGCCAGGGCCTTCCAGAGCTGACTTGCTACAATCCAGTGCTCTGTTCCTGCTCACCCCCAACCCCCCAAAAAAGCACAGAGCTGTGGTTTGGCGGCCCTGCTGCCTCCAGACGGCACCTGTAGATCAAGTTTCTCTGGAGGAATCCGGAATGCGTGCCTGCAGCTCTGTGCTGCGCCCGGCGGGGGCCGGGAGGGGCGCCCTGCACACGTGCTGCTGGTTTAGGATGAGGACATGGAAGAACCGATGTCACGGGCTCACTGCACTCGCGTCCTGCTCCGGGACAGGCAGGAGAAGCAGCAAGGGGGTGAGAGGACGAGAGCTCCCCAGCCTCTGCCTCTCACAGGGCAGGTCACTTCCTGCAGCCGCTCTGAGGTGGCAATGGCCCTACTATGATATCAGGACACCGTCTGCCATTCCCCCCCTGCCTGAGACACTCCAGCTATGGTGGCCCGGAACCTGGCCTCGGCCGCAGCCAGGGAGCCCCAGGCTAAAGCACAGTCTGCATGAAAACCTCTAAGGGTCAAGTCCCTGCCCCGGCCTCTCGTGCCAACTGCCATCACCTGCCACGGGCCCTTTCAGCTCAGACTCACTCTCGTATCACCTGGAAGGAGGCCCCAAAGGATCACGGGCAAGGCCTGTGTGCATACAGTAGGTGCCCTAGAGGTGACTGAGTTGCTTACTTGATCATCCCTCCGGCATCTGATCAGCCTAGTGGGGTGGCCTAGGAGACCCCTTCTTTGTTCCTTGGTCCCTGAATCCCTCAACAAGATGGATAATTCAAAATTGATCAGTTTTAGGAAAGCAGGACAGTGTCCCCCTCAACCATCTGCCCCGGATGGGGAACTGGTAGAACCCCCAGGACCTGACCTGAGAGACCGTCTGAAAATACCCAAGTCCAAACAAGGGGGCTCCGGGGTGGGATTTCTTCCAAGGAATATCCACAGGCACCAGCCACGCCGCTGCCCTCGCCAGGCTCACAGTCTGGCAGGAAGGGCAGGTGACAGATGATTATGTGAACGACTAACACAACTCCAAGGGCAAGGACTGGGCCTGTTGTGCCACAGTGGCAGCCCCAGCGCCGGCAGCAGCGCCTGAAACGTGGTCGACACAGGGAACAAATGTGGCTGAATGAAAAGGTGAGCAGAGGGGTGAGCAGAGAGGGGGCAGGAGCGGGGAGAGCAGGCTCCTCTGACAGTGCTGTATGGCCAGAGACCCAGGGAAGGGAGGACGACTTTCAAGGGTAGCACAAGGATGTGAACAGGATGTGCAAAGGCCCTGGGGCGAAATGAGCTTGGCATGTTGGGGGAGCAAGAGAAGCCCAAGTGGCTGCAGCAGAGGGAGGGAGCGACCACGGGGTGAGCACCATACAGAGGGAGGCCACGCAGGCCTGGGGGTGACAGTAAGGACTTTGGATTTTGTCTTAATTAGGAAGAAAAACCAGCAGAGGGCTCTGAGCATTCAGAGGGCGCCCCTTGACTTCCATCCCCTCAGAACCAGAATCCCTTGGGCTCTGTTGAAAACAGGCCTTTGGCAGCAAGAGGGGCACCAGGGGGTCAACACACAGGGGTTTGATCAGGGCGTGGATGAAGTAGTAGGAGTCAGAATGTCACCCACAGGAGCTGCAGCCCAATCGGTGTCACCACACGGTGCTGCTTAAGGCAGATGGTGGTGAGAGAAGGCCCAGTGATGAGCTGGGGAGCAGGGCGTCATTCACCCCAGGAGCTGACTGCCCCTACCTGACCCAGACTGAGAGGAGGCCAGTCAAGGGAGACTTGCCAAGGGCTACAGAGGTGGAGCAGTCACATGGGGGCTGCAGCTCCTGGAGCTGGGTGACCCTGGGCTTGGCCCTGCCTCTCGGAGCCTCATTCAGATGCCCCTTTGCACAACCTCTGCCCTGGTTGCTTTAAGGATTCAGTGAGGTGCCCTTGGCAAACTTAACAGTAACCAAGAGCCAGCACAGGGGATGAATTTGCAATTTAGTGGCGTGAGGAGAAAGGGAGGGATGCTGTGTCTGGAGAAGGGGGTCTGTTTTTCCCCAGCGGTGGAATGCAGCCACTGACTCCCCACCCCAAACTCAGCAACCTGGGGTACCTGTGACTCAGATCTGCGGCCACCTGCCGTCATCTCAGGTTCATTCACAGTGACTCCAGGTGCTGGGGGGTGGGGGGCCAGGCCGCCCCCTCCCCTTGGTGTCACCAGGGTCTGCTCCCTGCAGGTCTGTGGTGTCCCAGGTTGGGGGGTGTGGGATGGCGGCCAGGTCTCTGCTCTGAAGCCAGGTGGCCTGGATCTGCTTCTGGAGACGCTTCTCGGGAAAGCAACTTGGGTCTGGGGAGCGTCTGTTGTACTTATCACATTTTGCAAACACAAAGGGAAGAAAGAGGAAGTGGGGAAAAAGGGAAATTGGCTCAATAAGCACTGAATGGGCTAGTCCAGGATGGCAATCAGGGCAGAGGGAGGGAGGAAGATGAGGGCAGCTGCGTCCTGCAAGCTGCTCAGCCCAGCTTTGGGGAGCAAGCCCAGGGGGGGCAAGCGTGACGGGGTCCCTATCCTGGGACATTTCATGGGCTCCCCCGCGGCCGCTCTGTGACACCCACAGGCTGAGTTCAGAAAGGTATTTCCTCCGCAAGCTGGGTTCTCCATCAAATAAAAGCAGTGGCGAAAGGGGAGCAGAGGACGCCTCACTGTCAGGAAGACTGGCTGGCGGTGGGGGGGGCCCGCCATGGGGACCCCGCCCCGGCCCTGCTGCAGCCGCCTGGCCGGCCCTGCACGACCACAAGCACAGGTCGCCCCTGCCAGCACATGAACATCTCTGACTGTCCCAAGTTTCCGTTCCCATATCAAAAGTGCCTCTTTTCTGCTGAGGCAGCAAGACCTGCCAACAAACAAGCCTCTGGGACCCACGGGTTTTGTAACACGAGCCTCCCCTTGAAGAGCTGCAATGAATCACGGAGGCTAATGGTATCGGCAGCTGGGCTGGTGGAAGGATTTGTGGGGTCCCAGCCCCTGCCCCCCAGATACCCCACCTCCCCTGAGGGATGGCATCCCCGCTGCAGGCCCCCCCAGACGGGAGCCAGATAGGACTGAGGTCTGGCGGGGGCAGGGCGGTCGGCTCCTTCCTCGAGGATCGGCTGGGCTGAGGGAGCTGAGTGCCTGGCACCTGGTCACGCCCGGGGAGGCCATGGGCTGCAGGCACCGCCCGGGGAAAAATCCGTGGGTCTCGGGTCCCTGCCCAGAGGACGGCCTGCAAAGGGTCCTGTGGCCAGATGACCAGGGGACCCGCCTGTCCAAGTGAGCAGGAGCCGTGGGGGCCTCCCCAGGTGCAGCCTGGAGGAAACACGTCCAGAGGAAGGGGCTGGAGCAGCTTCCCTCCCCCAGGGAGCAGTCCCCAGCCACGGCGACGCCTACCCAGCCAAGTCCAGACCCGCCAAGCGCCACAGAAGTCGTGGGCAGAGTCTGGGCACCTCTGTCCTTCCTAGACCCCAGGAGTGGGGGTGGTCAGAACAGGCTGTGGGTTCCTTCTCCGGGCCTTCGAAAAGCCCTCGGCCACTCGGAGTCTGATAACCCAGGAGCTCCCTCCGCCCCAGCCGCGGGAGCAGCCCCTCGGCTCCGTACCGTCCCCCGCCAGCCAGGCCAGCCTAGCCTCACCTCGTCATAACACAGCTCCTCCCACCTCACAGGCCCCCGCGTCCCACGGCCCTGGCCTCGCTGCCAGGGAGCCTCTGAGACCCGGACTGGTCCACACATACCTCGCCCCCACCCCATCTCCCCCAGAATTACCCCAGGATGCTGGATCCTGCCAGAATCCAGAACGCAGTCTCTCCCGGCCCCGGCAAGCATCCAGGCTGCCTGAGACCCCTGACCAGTGAGTGGCCTCACTGTCTCCCAGACACCTACCGGAGGATCAGAGTTCTGGAATGTTCTGGGCCAGTGCCTGGGGAAAGTGCCAGGAGAGAAGCCCCATTCCTCAGAATGGGCACACTGAAGAGGAGGCAGGCAGCCCCCTGCACCGTGTGCCCTCCCTGCTGGAGGCCGGGCCCCTCCGGGTGCCCCGCAGCCGCCCTGGCTGGGGCTGGGTCAGCCTGGCCTGAGTGAGCACCGCCGTCACCAAGGGGAAGCGGCCCTTGGTTACCACTGGCCCGGCGAACACAGAGGCAAAACAAACACTGGAGGCCGCTGCTCCTCGCTGCTGGGAACAATTACAAGGTAATCGGCCCGGTTTCCAAACGCCCTCCAGAATGGAGGCCAAGGGCCAGCGGGCGGCCAGTTTGTAACCCCGCTGCTGCTGCAGCTGCACCTCAGACACCCCGGGACCTCCTCCACCCCCCCAGGGCGCACGCGGGAGCAAGGCTGGGCCATGGAGGAGGCGGGCAGACCAGCATCGCGCCGCTCGGGGCCTGGTCAGCAGCCATGCTGGCCAGTTTCCAAAAGGACAGGTGGGCCCAAGCGGGCAGGTGAGGGCAGCCGCCTGCAGGCCCAGTCTTACCCGCCCCGGGGGCAGCCTGTGAAGCAGAGACTCAGCCGCAAACGACAAAATACCAGGATCGTACCAGCCTGTGGCTTCCCTGTGCCGTCCTCCTGGCTTCCCGCCCAGCCTGGACATTGACCCCACCACCTCCTGTCCCAGCAGATTGAACCCCAGTAGTCGCTCATCTTCTGTCGGGGTGGGGATCGCCTCTAGGAAGAAGGCCCCTCCGCCCCCAGTCCAGAGCCTTGGTTGGGTCCAAAGTCTCCTGGGAGCAGAAAGTGGAGGCAGCCGACATGGAACAGGACAGGGGAGAGCTGAGGGACACCTGTGGGGAGCTCTCCTGCCTCCCCTCACCCCTGCTGAGACCTGCACCTGTGCCTGGTGGCTGGCAGGCTCCGCCTCAAGGCTGGCTCTCTCCTCCCTGCTCCCCACCCCTAGCCCAGCCTTTTTTGGGGACAGGCTGCTGACCTTGGATGGGGACTATGGCACCAGGTCCCAACCCCGAGGAACAGGAAGAGCCACCAGAACACTGTGTCACCCTCGAGTTGCCCCGCCCTGCCGCCAGGGCGCACACTCAGACTCACTGATGTCCTGCTGGCCTTGGCGGGCAGGGTCTGTGGACTCCACGGGCCCTCCAGGGGAGAGAGAGGAGGACAGAGACACAGAAAGACAGAGACAGAGACACAAAAAGAGACAGAGAGATGAAGACAGACGAGACAGGAATGGGGCAGAGACACAGGGACAGAGACGGAACAGGAAGCAGAAGGAATCCGAGGCAGAGGCTGGAAGTTCTGTAGACTCCACACTGTCAGCTGGGCCTGGGCAGCACAGCACCCCATGGGGGAGCTCCCCATCCAGGCAGGCTGCTCAGCGGGGCACCCTGCACAGTGGGGAACCCCAGCCAGACAGGAGCCTCGGGCTCATAACCGGAGGGGAGGCGGTGATGGAGCTGGGGCGCACCTCACCCTGGCCCCAGCCTCACCCTGTTCTCCCTCTCAACGAGGGTTTCCTGTCACGTAACCAGGAGGTCTTGAAGTCAATAACCTTCCTGACCAGAGAGGCAGACGCTCCCTGTGGGGGTGCCAGGTTCCCACCCGGGCTGTGCTGTGGGGGTGACACCGTGGTGGCCCCACAAAGCAGGTCCCCCATTTTGATTTCAAACAATTCAGTACTTTCAGAGGTGAGGGCCCAGCTCGGGAGCCTTCCCAGCCTCCTGACCCACCGGCCAAGGCCCAACTTGTCTCGGGGTACTCGGAGGCCACCTCTGGCCCCTGCCCCTCCCCCAGCCCCTGGAGAAGCTGCTTTTGGGGGGATGCTAAGGGGCAGGACTTAACACTGGGGTTCGAGTCTCAGACCATGATTCTCACGGGCTGGAGATGGAAACGGAACATTTCTATAGACAGAAACTGCCAGAAATCCCCTCCTCTCATCCAGCCCCTCGCCACGTCTGCCCGGCTGGGATAAGCGGTGTTGGTGGAGAAGTTTCTTCCAGACTCTCGGGAGGTGGGGACTTTCATCTCAGAGGGGACCAAGGATCCTGGAACCAGCCCCAACTCACACTTTCCCTCCTCCGCCTTTGAGGACCCCCGGCCCGACTCGGCAGCCCCTGCTGCCTTACCCACGGGAGCCGCCGGGGAGGAAGTCACCAAGCAGGGCCCTTTTCCATTAAAAACCTGTGCACTGGCTTCCTTCACATGCAGAAGGAAAAATTCAAACCACCAGGCCAGAGGAAGCTTCTTGACACAGTCCTGCTCTTCTCACCGAGGGATCAGCAAGCACAAGGGCCTGATCCACAAGGCAGAGCCTGGGGTGGGGAGACTGAGGCAATGAGGTCACCTCCGGGGACAGCAGAGGCCTTCAGAGACAGTGAGGGCAGACCCGGAGCTGGGAGAGGCCTCGGAGGACGGTGGGGTGGAGGAGGGTGCCCTCTGAGGGGTGCTGACCAAGGGCTGAAATCCCAGTGGGGAGGGAGGCAGCAGAGGGACCCTGGCAGAAGCCCCCATCAGAACTGGGGACGTGGACTCTGAGAGCTGAGGGTGCTCGCAGGATCCCAAGGCCAGGGGCAGGGGAAGGATCTGGAACCTGGAGGCAGGGCCTTGCTGGCCTGGCAGGGAGTCAGAGCCAGGACTCAGGCACAGGGACAGCTGGGGAGGGGACAGATCAGAGACGCTGAACCCATCCTGGATGTTCAGACGGAACCGGGGAGAACTCTGAATGGGGAGCTAATGTCCCGCTCTTTGCACAGAGGAATTACAGTCACTTCATCCGAAGTGCAGGGAGGGGCAGTGGGTCCATGAATACAGCGACCCAGGCCCTTTCCTTGTTTCAGGCGAGGGCACCCGGTGGAGGAGGTGGGCTTCTGTGGGCCACACCCCAGGCCCTTCCCGAACGCTGTCAGGAAACACAGAAAACTCCTCCTCTCCTCCCTCCCTCCTCCTTCCACCTGCGCCGGGGGAGGTAGGCTTAAAAGAATTAAAAAATTTCTCTTAGGTAAACAGCACATGTGAAGTGCATTAACCCAAGAAACGTCACGTCAGCAGCATGAGAACACATCAGGACGTTGTCACCCACGACAGAGAGAACGGAGACATTCTCAGGCCTCTCCTGCGAGGCCTCGGGGAGCACCGAAGACGTGAAGGGAGGAACAGGAAGAGCCCAGGCCCCAGCAGGTGGGCCCAAGCCCAGGTGGCGGAGGGCGGCACCGCTGGGCGCATCGGGCGTGATGCACGGTCGCGGGACCCCCGAGACCGCCAGGAGGCCGGCGCTCAGCGCAGGAGGATGCTCAGGAGGATGCTCCAGTCTCGAGCCAGGGAGCAGGGAGCCACAGCTTCTCCCGAAGCTCAGACACCTTCAAGATCGCCCCACGAATGCCTCCCCAGGACGACAGTGAACCCGCCAGCCCCACGCCGGTGTGTTCAGAGACTGACGGGAGGGGAAGGGATTCTGACCAGGGAAGGAGCGCGGAAGAAACCAGAGGGATGCTGAGGGGAGCAACTCGGTCTCCGAAGGACAAATCCTGGGCGTCCCTCACAGGAGGGACTTAGGAGTGAAATTCCCAGAGAGGGAGGCCAGGAGGGGAGGGTGAGCGCTCAGTGGGGATGGCGGCACTGGGGGAAAGTTCTGGAGTGGACGGTGATGGAAGGTCACTTACACCGGGTGACTGAGCGGAAGGCGTCTGCGCCGCGCTCTTAAAAATGGTCAGAATGGTCGATTTTATGTGCTGGAGAGCTGACCACAATGAAAAAAAAAATGCTTTGTTGCCTATGAGAGTAAGAGAGAAAACCCAAGGCCTAGGAAAATGACGGGATGAAAGGGCCAGTCCACCCTGGCACGCTGGCCGGTCAGCCGTGCACCTCCCAAGACAGCTGAGGGCCGTGGTGGCCCATGGGCAGAGCTAGCCCCCCGGGGGCCGTGCTGGGGAGCTCAGCCTGAGCAGAGAGGGGACAGCCCATTTATTTGGCTCAGGGGCCCCTCATTCCTCCGGGCCGACCTCCCTCCCTTCCCCTGGACAAAGAAGAGACGGCGCCGATCTCCCGGCGTGTGCTGGGGGCCGGCCTCACTGCCCAGGCGCTGGCCGCCCTCACCTGCCACTTCACACCTCCGGCGCGACTCAAGCCCCGGTAGGAGACAGAGCAGCAGGAAACGGAATGGACTTGAAAAAGCGGATACATTTGTGAAAGGTCAAGCCCAAAATGGCTCGGGAGCAGGGACAGGTTGCTGTCCAGGAAATGACTCATGTCTCCCCGGGCCCCTCGGGGCCGCTCCGGGAACAGACACTGGGAGGGCAGCCCGCGGTTCTCACGGAGGAAGGCGGGTCCCCACGCACCTTGGCCCTCCGGGCCCCCCGTGGGCACCTGGGGCTGTCGGGGCCTAGCATGACCCTGTGGGCAGCTCCCTGGTGAAGGGCACTGAAATCCAGCCCCTGCACCTCGGAGGACCCGTTGGCCCCCTGCTGCCACCCACACTTCCTGTGGCCTCCGCCACCCTCCACGCACTCAGGCTGCAAGGACCCACAAGCTGGCTTCGGGCCCAAGCCACCTAAGGGAACACCTCTGCCAAGGTCATGACCTCCGAATCAATAAAACAAACCACTTAGAAAAGCATCTTCTTCAGTTCTCAGCCCCATCTGAAAACCCCGACCATGTCCTTGGCCTGGAAAGGCTGCTTGGCACCCACGTGGTATGCCAGCCCCCTCTGCAGAGCTCCTGTCCCAGCTCCTTTGCTGGTAGTCCGTCCTGCCCCTAAAACACCAGCGTCTAGAGGGTTCCCCTCATTAGGGTCCCCCGCATCGTGGTTCCAGGGAGGACCTCTGTGACCTTGACGTACCCCACCACAGCTTCATCCTCACGCCAACCTCACATCTCCCCAATTCCTTCTCCTCCAGGCTTTCTACATTATCACCTGATATAAGCCCCCTCCCCCCATAATTGTCAAGTCTGTTTAAGTCACTATCACCGAGGAGTCCCCAACTTGGCCTCCCTGCCCACAGCATCCCCCTGGCCCAGGCCCACCCCGCCATTTAGTTTTCATTCTGAAAACTTGTAATTCAAAGAGACACAAAAGACA